GGGGTGCTGGTAGATTCTACTTCTTTACTTTCTCTCAGCTGTTTCTGTCTGTCTGTCTTACACTTTCCAAGTACCAAACGGCCATATTGTGTCGATGTGCTTCTCTTTACTCAAACACGTCCTCTCTTCCACACACAATAACACAAACACACACAATTCAAGCATGTACTATAAGTAAACAATAACTGGTAAAAAAAACAATGTTTTCACCAGATTCGTACATTCCCTACGTCGAGAGGTTGTGGTTAGCTAGCTCTGGGCTTGAATTTTTCTGTCATCAAAACATCGTCTCGTACATTGCAGAATTTTATCGAGAAGTAAATGCTTACTCTGATTTTAGATTGTCAAGTGTACAGTAGATGTGGACCAGTCTGGTGTTTTATTGGACGCCATCGCGTTGAGGCTCAGAGTGTACCCCACCTTAAATGTGGCTTGGGGGTTCCAGAGTGCCAGTGTGATCCAGCGCCTTAGGTTCTCCTGATATTACCTCCTCGTAGTAGAATATGTCCCCCCCCCCTCCCGCTCTCAACACTGACTCCCAACGACTCAGGTGCAGTCATGTAGAGAACCTGCGAAATGACGAATCTACCAGAGCTGAGTTTTCATTGAAAAAGTAACTACAGCAGGCAAAGCAGCAGACTTATTTTACAGAGTGTACACTGCCAATTGAAATCATTTTGAATTTCCTTCTTGGATGGGATAAAAACTACCATTTAGGCCTAATTTCTATGGAATTCGACTAAATTCGTCTGTGACCTTCAAAATCAAGGAGTGCGTTTGATTTTCAAGGTCGCAAGTTGAATCGGTCGTATCGTACCAAAATGGAAGCTTTAGTCCCTCCATGGAAGAAAATCTGGCTGGCCACTCAGTTCGATTGAATCCGTTTAGTAGTGTTCTTTGCTCCCATAAGGTAAGAAAATCTGGCTGGACTCGACAAAATCAAATGAATTCGATCCGCAGTGTGCACTGGGTATTAAAGTTCATCAAAGAAAACAAAATTATGTACATGAGAGAAACAAAAACCTAAAGAGAATAAGCCATTATCGTGTATGGTGGGCTGTTAGAAAATGTAGACCACCATGAACATCTCATCTTTTACAAATCATTGGACACTAAAGGCATATTTAAAGAGTTCATTGCCCAAATAGCCATGGGGAAACAAAGAACAGTTGAGATAGATAGATATAATGGAGACGAAACGTCCATTCTAATTCACCCGTAATTCAAGTTGAGAGCACAAATTTTGATATTACCACTCTTGTTGTATGAGAGCAAAGGGCAGTCCCTACCAAACACGAGGAAAATGTCAGCATCAATAAACTGAAGTGTAACAAATTTCTTTTGAGAACCAATGGGGCACGAAAAAGAACAAATGCCAGCTTACCTAAGAAAGACAAAGAGCTCTTGAGGCTTGTGAGGAAAAGAAGAAAAATGTATTTATTTATTTATTTTTTTATTGGGGGTGGTGGTAGGTTTTTTTTTAAAGAGGGAGGGGTGTGAGGTGGGCAGTGGGCATGCCAATAGACACTGCTCCTGTTGCCAAATCATGAAGATCATTGCACTGGCCAAATTACCAGGGACAAGAAAGAGAGGCTGATCTGAAAGTTTGTGTCGACAACATCTCCTATGGGTCTTAAAGAAAACTTTCCTTTTTGGTTGTTACTTAGGTTGGTCGGTTGGCTGAGTCTTCGATAGATAGATAGATAGATAGATAGATAGATAGATAGATAGATAGGTAGATAGATAGATAGATAACCGCTTTGCTTTACTTGCCGATGTTTTCTTTTGTACAAAACAGTGCATACCTTACGAGCAAGGGAGTGGGGGGGAGTCCATAAATATGCTGTTTTCTGTAAAGAGGTTGTTGCTGATGTATGTGCTGTGTGAAGTGGATGACGTTGCATTTGACTATTTGATGTTTGTTGTTTTGGTTTTTTTCTTGAATGTGACGTGTGTTTAGAGAGTGGGGGAGGGGGGGCTGTTTTTATTGTTGTTGTTGCTGTTGTTGTTGTTGGGGTGGGGTTGTTGTTGTTTTTTTGGGGGGTAGGGGGTGGGGGTTGCCTTCTCAGTAAAAGTCTCTAAAGGTAAAGAATCTGTAAAAAGAACAAAAAAAGGCCTAAACAATGAATAATTGTTTCTCTGTTCTGGGGCTGAGCCGAAAGGGATCTAGCGGTGTAGGACAAGAAAAAAAAACCTCGCTTGGGTCACGAGTGATGTGATAAATTTTCACCTGCGTTGCGTTGATTAGTGGAATTCGCTGGATCGCAGGTCGATCGTCTCCTGCCAGCCTGACTCTGTCACGATAACTCGTGTCCCCTTGTCCGGGGGATTAGCGACTCCACCCCCCCCCCCAACCCTTCTAACTACCTCTCCTCTCCCAAACACAGGGCTGTCAATCCCCCTTCCAACCCCTGGGCCAGCCGCATTTAAAAAGGCTGTAAAACAATCAGAGCTCCAAACCAAACGGAGGACACGGCAGTAAAGGTCAAAGGGCGCGCTCGTCCTCGCTACACACAGCGGATATAATCAGGATTTGTCCCTGGGTTCTGCCACTGCCGCGGCGCCTCACGACAGTTGTTACCTGAGCCCGCTGTTTACTGCACGGGATTCGTCATGGAGTATTGAACTTACTCGTGCCGATCACTTGTATCAAAGACCGGCGCTTGTTCTCTACACAGAGAGGAATACGGATAGAAAGAGTGGCCGAGAAGGAGGAAGAGAAGCTTAAAAACTATGGATCAAGGAATTAACGATTCAGCGGAGTCGGTGACGACCGGCGGACCAAACAGAAACAGCGAGCCGAGCGGTGGAGGGGATCAAGAACCTGAGGTAATTGGGACTAGTGAGGGGAGCCAGGTAGAACGAGGCGCGGTCTTCTCCAACGGTTTAGGTCTCACAGCCGGGCCTGAGTGTGCTTCATCTGGTGCTGTGGACGGTTTGGGCTTTAGTAACATTGGTGACTTGATAGGTCAAACGCCTGGACAGAAGGATTTTCTCTCTCGGAATCAACAGTTTGTTCCTGAAGGAGGGCAAGAAACTGTGTGTGAAACGAACAAAGTGTGTAGTGAAAACAGTGATGACGATAGCAGTCTTAGAGGATTTACTCACAGGGTTTCCAGTTTTGTAACAAACAGTGAAGTACTTCCGAAAATTGTGACGTCCTCTCAAAATGTTGTACCTCCTCAGATACACCGAACATCAACCGCACCTCTGTCCACTTCATCATCAGCACAAGTAGCATCAGCAACCACTTCGACAACAAACACTTCAGCACTCCCCACTCTGAATCTCAACTTGACTCTCCCTCCCGTTCGAGCGACCATCACGCAGGGATTCGGCGTCAAAATGGTGGCCACCTCCTCCTCCCAACAACTCATCTACCGCAGCGTCCCCCCACGCCCCCTCAGCTACACACTCACAGACGTCCTTGAGGTGAGAGGACCTCGTGGGGGAAAGCTCAGGTCGAAGACGGCGCCAGTGTCCACCAACGCCCCTGAGGAGTATGCCCAGAGGTTCAAATCCCGGCCCACGACCAGGCCCCGAGTCATTGAGTTTGACGGGTCGGCCGTGAGCTCCAAGTCTCAGAGAGCCATGCAGAACACCAGCACGGGCTTCCCGACAGCCAGAGCCAGGATATACATCGGACACCCCAAGACAAAGTCGCCAGTGGACAGCCCTGACGTAAGTACATAGATTGTCGCCATAATAATGCACCATGCCACAAGTACACACACCAAGATAATGCTGATTTGTTTCGTTGGGGGACGGGGGGTTGCAGTTGTTAATATGAACTATAACACAAAATGTTATTACAATGATACTGAACCCTGGCATTAATACGCCCTCTAATAAAATCCATTTTGTATGAGCACCGACATCACACCGGTCATTGATGAAGAAAGCAAGACACACAAACAAAGACAACAAAGGGACAGTAAAAATATGGGACAAGTGGCACCTTCCAACACCACCTCTAGATAAGCATTTAAACGTGTTTATGAGTGTGTTTGTGTATGTGTATATTACGCGAATGTGTCGATGGTTATGTATGTGTGCATATTCATAAAAGTATGAGTATGTGTATACGCCTATGTGTCCCCCCCC